TTAAGGCTTTGGGACAAGAATTGTGCGGTCTACTGTACGTATTAGGATGAATTTCACTAAGTGGTAACAACAAGGATTTAGTTGAGTTGACATCTATTACTTTAATCACTTAAAAATTTTGACTTTTCCTCAAAAGTTTTAAATCCTTACAATATTAAGAAGCTAAAAATATTAGGATGCACTGAAAATCTCATTAATTAAGACAAACTTGATCACTTGAAATCTACGTTATAAGAGCAATAGTTTAGTCATTGATTTCATATAAAATTTACCTAAAAGCTATTTTCAAATATCACCAACCCCTTTCCTATTTTCCATCCCCCTTCCTCTTACTTGGAACAAACTATTTAAGTTAAAAAAAGAAGAAGAAGAAGAAGAAGAAGACAAAACTTGGTCACTTCTGTTTTCTCCAACTAGAGTGGATCATTGTCCAAAGTCGGTTTGAGTTAATTAGCGTGGTTTGATTTTATTTATTTTATGTTTCTTTTTCTATTTCTTCACCCAACATTTTTGGAATGGGATACTCGGATTTCTTTCATCCCCACCTCTTTTCTTTCATGCACCTGGCGCCACTTAACTAATTACTCTGTTTTAGATTCTGGACGTTGTCATTGGGGTCCATTTTGCAATTTTGTCCCCTCCCCTTCCCAAGTCCCAATAGTTAACCATGAATTTTTAGCAAAAAAAACAGTATATATATGGGGTGTTTAAACAGTGGTTAAACTCTTGGCAATGGATTGGACAAATTCCAATCCCTTTTAATTGTTTCAGTTAGATCCTTGTTGCTGTTGCAACTAAACATGCCGTGAATAAAACCAAGCTCAATAGCAATATCTTAAATTCTTAATGCAACTGAATTAATTAAGTGAACCTGGAGAGAATTTACTACAAATACAAAGGTTTGTTTACCTAAAACGATAAAAGATAACAATAAAAAGAAAGAAAACCCAAGGGTCAAAGAGGACTACAGGTCGGTAAGCCACCTACTGCAATCAATGATGACATTCACTTAATCCATCCCATGCCAACTAATCTTCTTCACCAAGACAACGTGGCTTTTATGATTAAAGTTCAAAACCATAATTATTAGATGCGCCCACAGAGTCCTAAAACCCAAATCCTAAGTCACAGATCCAACTGGATACACTGGTAAAAGGAAAGTGGCTGGAATGTTGGGTCGACCAGAACTTTTTTTTTTAAAAAAAAAATCACATATAAATGAAGTAAATTTAAAGAATTTATGGAAGCAGATGATTCCGTGGCTTGTGATGGTTGTGGTCTCCCTACCAGCTCACCAGAGAAAGCACAAGAATCGCTTAAGTAGGTAAGAGACATTTTTTATTTTTCATAAATGCATGACCAAGGTGCATTCCGGGGTGTTTCAAGTCCCCACCACTTTTTTGTATGTATTTTTAGCACCACCTGCAGACAAATTCCCACGGCTCAACTCTTCAGTCTTCATTCCCACAAGGCCACAACATACACACACACACACACACACACTCAGTTCTCCACCCTACTCAAACTCGAAAGGACTAGTCAAAAGCGAAAAGAAGATTTGGGAAGATTTTTTTTCTGAGAGAAATGTGTTGTACTGTTTAAATTGCACCGCACTGTACAAAACTACTTATTAGATGGAGCGGCCCCTGTCATAGTTTCACGGTTGTGAAGTTTGGATTGCAAAATTGTTAAATTTTTTAGGCTGTAAACAGTAAAATAAATAATTAAGAATTGAGAAATTAGAAACTGCACTATTTCGATTTTGAATTTGTTTATACATGGTTGATTGTTGATGAGAATAAATATTATAGAAAAATAAGAAAGGAAAAAAGGTGCTCCAAATGGTTGAGAAAAAAAGAAAAAAAAACCAAAACCCATAAGATTAGCCCCAAACCTCACTAATATTTTTTAAAAAGAAAAAGGGAACAATACCTGAAAATCCCAAACCTAGTATCTGAGCGTAATAATCTTCAATTCTGTGTTAATTAAGCTCAATAATCAGGCATAAACTGACTAATCTTTGCTTCTTCGGCGGCCATCTTCTGCTCCGTAATCTTTAACCATATACACACGCCGGTGAAACTGAGCACCAGACTGGCAAACCCACTTCCGAGTCCGATCAAGACAATAGTCAAAACCGATAATCCTTTGGGCTTCATAGGCGGCAGAGGATACCCGTAAAGATCTTTATTCCCTTCAAAAGAGGTGGCATTGAATCTCGGAAAATTACCGCTTCTGTTCCCTAAGGAAGCCGGAATGGGACCGGAAAGCTTATTGAACGAAACATCAAAAGCAGACAGGCGTACGAGGAGACCCAATTGAGGAGGAATCTGCCCGGAAAGCAAATTGTCGTGAAGATCAATGACGTTTAGGTAAGCGCACAATGCGAGCTGCTGAGGGATCTCCCCGTCGAGCCGATTAGAGGAGAGATTCAGAACGGCCAGATTGACCAAGTATTCCAATTCTTGGGGGATGGGTCCGGAGATTGAGTTGGAGGAGAGGTCAAGGGACTGAAGATTGGTACAGTTTGAGAGAAAAGGAGAAATGGTACCCTGGAGAGAGAGACTAGACAGAGAAAGCTTGTAGATGCGGCCATTGTTGCAGGTGGCACCAGGTAGATAGGAGGTGAATCCGTTGCAGGGATTAACGAAGTTGGGTTTGGTCCAGTTATGGAGATTCTTCAGTGGGTCTTTGAAGGATTGACTTAACTGGGTTAAGCAGACTTCGTCGTTCGGATCTGAAGAAGAAAGAGGAAGCGCCGCACACGTTAGCAACAACAGTAACAACAGACCCATATCTGAAGGAGAAAGAAAACTGAAAAACAGCTCTGTTTCTGCTCTGTTACTATTCTGTTAGGATGATTAAGAAAAAAAAGCAGACGCTGATATCTATAACTTTTTTTTTTTTACTAATTTAGAGGTGAAAGATACCCAGAACAAAAGGATATCGAGAAATTTTGGCTTCTGTTGAATAAAAATTTGTGTTGTACTGGAGGTACTATATAAAGGTGCAAGACAGCAGGTTGAGAGAGACTGAGTGGGGGGCAATGGCAAACAGATGAGTTAAGGGGGTTTGGCGAAAGGGAAAAATAGTAAGAGTACATGGTCTAAGAGTGTGCCGATCTATAGTGTACAAAAGTGTCTTCAGATCATTAGGAGATGCTGTGATTGGAATTGTATTTATGGTTATATTAAATTATATTATATTTTAATTTTTTTTATTAAATTAAAATTATTTATAAATATTAATTGAGAAAAAAAAAAATGAATAATGTGAAGGTTAAGTTTTAACTCAAAATTTATATTATTGAATCGAAACGAAATGTTTGTATTATATTTTAATTATGATTGAAATTATTTTAATATTTAATTATTTATTTATTAAAAATATTATAAAAATTATTAATATATTTATGATAAATTTTATTAAAATATTCTCACTTCAATAAAATTACAAATTCTGCGTTCACTAACATTACGTCACTACGTATAGCTCCATCTTTGCGGCTAATTAAAGCATAATATTTTGCAGAGGGGATGGCGTATGTTTTCGACATACATAACATTATCCTCTGTACTAGGAAGGAAATTCCACACTGGACGGATGACAATCATATCATTATTATTTATGAAAGTATGAGATTTCATTAAATACAATGAAATACGATTGTATCTCTAAGTTTCGTTAACAATGTACTCCAACCAGTGACAATAAGGGACAGAGAGAATAGTTACATTTTAAGTTAAAAGTTCATATTCTCTACATTTTAAAATAAT